GTACGCTTGAAGCTGTCCCAGAGGCTCCTTACACTATCTTCGTATTTTTGGATACTTTTTTTCATTTTGCTTTTCCGGTTGGGTGATTTTTGCTTCTTCGTATTTCAATTCTTTGACTTGATTCTTACGCTCCTCTAGTCTGCTGTTGGGAGTCTGTATAATATTCTTTATTTCAGTCAGTGTATGCTTAATTTCTATTTGGTCCTTTTTCATATCCTCGAGGGCCTCACTAGATTTATTGAGGGTCTCACTAAATTTATTGGTGGTTTCTAGAAAATTCTTGAAAAACCTTATAACTGTGGTTTTGAACCCTATATCTAGTAGTTTGCTTTCCTTCATTTCTGTCATTTGTGACCTGTTTCTTTGTCTCCTCATTTTGGCTACTTCCCTGTGTTGATAGGGTGGTTTTCTGTGCTAGGTGTCCTATAGGGCCCAGTAGGTCAGTCTCCCTAATTACCTGAAGTGGACTCTCTTGGTGCACCCCTTTGTGGGCATTGTGCACAGTCTTGTTGTAGTTAAGTCTTGATTGTTGTAGGTAACACTGGGAGGGATTGACCTTCAGGCCAATTGGCTGTGAGAATCAGCTGTGTCTGCAGTGGGAGAACTTCTGTGCTGGAGACACCCTTCTGGGGCAAGACTTGTTTCAATGGGGCTTTGGTGCTCACTGAGTCTGCCCCTGAGTGTGTCCCTTATGGATCTGAGGAGTTGTAATCTGGATGGTCCCACTCTGACCACTAGGTAGACTGGCTCTTGGATCTCTAAGGAGGTGCTAATTTAGCCTCTGCCTGAGGCTACCCAGCAGGAGCTATGGAGAGATCTGCAGATTCCTCTTCTTTGTTTGGGGTTTGGAGGTGCCCAGATGAGGCCCAGCTGTGAAACAATGCAAGCTGCTGTGGGGACTTGGGCCTTCTTTTGGATGTTCTGGGTCTGTCTGGCCCAGCTGCAGTTTGTTAGGTAATTTTAGATTGCAAAGGGCCATGCCATTCATATGCAAAAGCCTCTGCTGCAGCTTGGGTGGGGCGGGGTCTCAGGGAATCAACAGGGCGGAGCAAACAGCTATGGCTGATCCTCAGCCCTGCCCTAAGAGGCCCTGGGTCTCAGTGTTCCTCGGTAATCACTGCAAGCACCTCCGAGAGAAAGCCACCCTCGAGTTCCGCCTGATGCCAGACAGTCCAGTTTCTCCCCGTATGAGTCCCCAGAGACTCGCCCGGAACTGGAGTTCAGAGCAGTCGGGAGCTTGAGACTCCCTCCCGATTGTAAAAGACAGCCGTGTCCTCCATTGCCAGCCCTTTTCGCGTGCGCCTCCGTACCTCTGCACTTTACTTCCGCACCTCCTCTGCATCTCGGTATGCTTTTCTCTTTCCTTCTAGTTGTAGACTTTCCACTCAGCCAGCCTTCCTCTGGTTCTGGATGATGTCCGTTTTGTCTTTTAGTTGTATTTTTGAAGTAGTTGTGCGAGGCAGCAATTTCCAGTGTTTACCTCTGCCGCCATCTTGGTTTCTCCCCCTACTCTCCCTGTTTTTTAAAACTCACACAAAGAGTAGTAGACACTCAATAAATATTGTTTACATTACAAAAAAAAAAAAAAAACTCACACAAAGGCATCTGCTGAATACCATGAATTTCTTTCCTCGTTTTACGCAGTGAGTAGTACAACATCGGGTGAGCACTTGGGAGCAGGAGTGCAGAGTGCCGAAGCAGCCGGAGTGGAAGGGTACCTGCCTAGTGTTCCGCGGCACTGTGTTTGGGTGTTGGTACCAAAAAAGAAAAGGGATGTCTTCGGTGCTGAAACTTGAACTTTGATACCTAGGGGAAGTGATGCCCTGTTGAAGTTGGCTGTAATGGGATGCCTTTTTTGACCATGTCTATTCCAGAGGAGTCCTGAGAATTCTAAAGAAAACATTTGTAAGCCTAGTATGTAAATGCTAGAGTGATCTCAACTCGCGTGTAGTCTACTGAGTTGACTGTGTAACATTAAAAATAGACGCAAGTCTAGGTTAATGACATTGCCTTGATTTTGTGCTTGTAGATCTCTTCAGAGGTGTATCTGTTCAGCCACATTAAGGGAAGGAAGCACCAGCAAGCCGTGCGAGAGAGCAGCAGCATCCAAGGGAGAGAGCTCTCGGATGAGGAAGTGGTGAGCTCCACTTTTCATTTACACACCTTTCTACTAAGAAGGCCATGTTCTGTGTCGTTCTGTGATTATTTAAAACTATATTAACACTTAATAACTACTGTCATAGTATACAAATGTGTTATTTTAGTGTACATATTAACACAAAACATAAAAGTAAGAATTTAATACTGTTTTTAATATAATTCTAGTATAAAATTGTGGTGTTTTTATATTTTAACTAGAGGCCCGATGCACAAAATTCGTGCAAGGGGCTCGGCCCTCACAGCCCCGGCTGCCTCAGCCCTCACAGCCTTGGCTTTGTCTGGAAGGTCGTCCGGACTATCATTCAGCTGTTCGGCCATTTAGTTGATTTGCATATTACGCTTTTATTATTATAGATAATATAAGAAAAGAATTATTAGTGATGCTCTACATTTCTTGGAAAACAGTTGACAATAAAAATTTCAGCCCTATGCCCTGACCAGTTTGGCTAAGTGGCTAGAGCGTCGGCCTGTGGACTGAAGGATCCCAGGTTCGATTCCGGTCAAGGGCATGTACCTTGGTTGTGGGCACATCCCCAGTAGGGGGTGTGCAGGAGGCAGCTGACGGATGTTTCTAACTCTCTATCCTCTCCCTTCTTCTCTGTAAAAAAATCAATAAAATATATTTTAAAAAAAAATTTCAGCCTAGC